AGTTCCCGAACACAGATTATCTGCCCAGATATCTTAAGGCCATGGCTTAATGGGCCAGAAAAGACACTGTGTGACACCTATCTGTTTTGGGTTCTCAGGGGTGTGTGAGCATCAAATCCAATGCACGTGGGCCCCACACTTGTGTGGTTTGTAAAACATGCTCATGAACTGGGCTTAGTGTCTGAATAAAGGCACCATTGCTACAATGAAAACCAGAGGGAGTAGACATAATTTTAACAGAAAAAGTTTATTTTAAGAGGACACAAACAGCTCTAGCTATATAAAGAATACAGTTCAATTGCTGGTAGCAAACCAGTAAGGAATGCTTTTTTTTAAAAAAAAAAGACAGACAGGAAAACCCCTTTGTAATATCATCCCACAGAGGGCTCCCTTACATTTTGTGTTGGAATCCTAAAAAGATTGGGATTGTGATCTCTCCTAGTTTCTGCTGCTTCTTGAAATTTTTATCCAGGGACACATTCTCATCACTGGGGGAATTGCCTTATCTCTGTCTTCTAGTTTAGGATATTGGTCTGTACATTCCTGTCTACTGTGTTTTTCTTAAGAGCGTGTTGGCACTCAGGAAGCATTGAATGGTAAGTGCTAATAAGTCCACTTCCTGACTCTCCGTAGCAGGACTGGCCAATCTGCATGCCTCATTTTTCTTTTGGCAAATGTAGTATTTTTGCTACTTTAGGATCCAAGGCATGAGCCTGGTTTCTCTTCCTAATTCTGGAAATCCTAAACAGAAAGTAGAAAGGAACTGTTTCACGGATGCTTTTAAGTAGGGAAATTCTGAAAGTTACTTGCATCTCTGACTTTTTAAAATTTAGATTTCAGTAAGTGGGTAGATCCCTGGGCTCAAACGACAGAAATCAAATTAAAGGTCTTAAGAAGCAATGTGCTGAGCTAGTAAAAGCTGCAGCCTGAGAGCTATGTCCGAGTGACTGAGTCCACATCGAATTAAAGTCCTAGCTCTCTGTTTGTTGGCCTGTGCAGGATTGCCACAGAGCAGCTTCTTCAAATGGCTCCCTGGGAAGGAGCCAGCACAAGCCCATGGAAAGAAGGCCTCAAAAGACAAGAAAAGGAAATGTCTCAGAATGCCCCTTCTCCTCCACCAGTCCCATCAGACCTGGAGCAGAGAACCCATGAGAGTGCTGGATGGGGTGTGTGTGAGTGTGTGTGTGTGTGTGTGTGTGTGTGTGCGTGCATGTGCGTGTACGTGTACGTGTGTGTATGCGTGTGTGTGTGTGAGAGAGAGAGAGAGAGAGATACTCATTAGTGAATGTGGCCCTCATAGTCCAGGTGGAGAAACCAAACACACACGCAGGCACACACCTTCTCACCCACTCATATCCCCCAATGTTTATAAGAACAAATGTGAAAATACGAATCTGAACTTTAGACCCCCAAGTAGCATGAGGGGTGGAGATGGGAGCAGGAAGGAGAGAGATGTGAACAAGCTGTAGAGAATCCTTGTAGAGGCTCAGAAAATAGGAGACAGGTGCGCTGAAAGCCTGATGTTTGTGGTGCTGCACAGGCATCCCAAGGAGCCCAGGAGGAGGGCACAGAACACCTTCCGCACCTCACTGGTTTTCTTGCTGGGGCTCAGTGCTCCATCTAGAATAGGTCCAAACTGCATTAGAAAATGGACACATCAACATTCTGGGTTTTAAAACCAGCCTTTGAAACCAAGAAAGCTGGTGATTTCCCTAGGAAATCGTAGGCTGGACTGGAATCTTAAGGCCTGGGCTGCCAGACTTTCCAATGATAGTCCTAAACTCGTGATGACAGTATGGAGCAGGATAGGGTGGCCCAAGGTGAGGGTCCCCAACTACAGTTTTAGGGGAGCAATAGCAATGATGGGAGAAAAGAAATAAGAAAACTCAGAAATCCATTCTTTCCTACCAGCTTACCCCAAATCTGGGGAAGCAGAGGCACGTTGGATAAAAAAGACAGGTTGGGAGAAAAGAATGAGGGTTTCTACACCGAGGTAGTCAGTACTGAGAGAAAGAGAGACAGTCCGTGAAGGACACCCTACTGAAGAGTAATGGTTGGCATATGCAGCACCTCCCCGCGCCCCTGTGCGGTCACACTGGCCTGACAGTGCATAGATGGGAAGGCAGCGAGCCACGTCATCCAGTACACAACCCAGTTACCACATGGGGCAGGTCAGGGAAATGCCTGTCCAGCAGGCCAAATCCAGCCTGAGGCTTTGCATGGCCCATGAGCTAAGAATGGTTTTTGCATTTTCCAAAGGTTGTAAAATGAATGAACAAGCAAACAGCAACAACAAAGAATATGCTACAGAGGCCATAGGTAGCCCACCAAGCCCAAAATAGTTACTGTCTGGCCCTTTACAGAAACTTTGTCAATCCCTGGTGCAGATGATGGGGGAAGTCCCACCAATCCCTGGTGAGAAGCCTCTGGGCATGCCTGAAAAGGGAAACCAAAGGAGATCCAGGAGAAACAAGGGAACAATGGAAATAACTGGAAATACCACTCCATATGAGTAGCACACTGTAAAGGTGCACTGCCTGCAACTCCGCAGAACAGTGAGGCATGCATGATCTCCAGAAGGAGGCCCAGGAATAGCTAAAGAGAGAGCCACACTAAGGAAATATTAAGCAAAGAATGTTCTGGAAAAGAGACTGCATGCAGAGTTCAGTACTGATTAGGGAGTTCTCTTATTGTTTGATAAGGTAGATTTGGAATTTGAGCCCAGGGATTGACAAAATATCAAGCCAGGTGAAGTTTCTAGAACACAACTGAGTATCTTGTGAGCATCTAACAGTCTGAAAATTTCTCAGAAAGATTAAGAAGAGAAGGTTAAAGTAGATTCTAGGAAAGCTAATTAATATTGGCTTGCCCTACGTTAAATAAACGCCAAATACGACAGTTCACACTAAAAAAAAAGTAGAGACATTCAGGGACAATGACAAAAGGAATCTTTGGTTTTTCAGAAGTCACCAGAAGATTCCCTTACATAGGAAGCTTTCCTACTAGAAAACGGAAGTTGATCTATAAAAATCCATTTTTCACACAACTTCCAGGGAAACATCCATTATACAAAGTAGGACACATATATTGAATCTGGAGGGAAAATGGGATCCGAACCCTCGGCGGGAGCGCCGCCGCACTTCCCAAGCGGCGCATTGTAGCAGTGCGCCACCGGGCCGGCCCAGGGAAATGAAATTTCTAAACTGAAAATCTGATTTGTCTTTGGATTCATGAATTAAAGAACTTCTTGAGCATTTTTCCTTAAAGCATATATATTCGTTCACTGAAATACGCAGGAAATGCATGTGTCATAAAATAGAAGCCAGCTGTGAGTCTTCTATAAATGTAGTGCTTTAAATGAAAAAACACTGGGCCCAGAGGCAGGAAACCTGGAATTGAGGCTGGACCCTGCCACTGGCTCACTGCGTGACTTTATGCAAGTTATTTGACCTTTCTGGGCCTCAGTTTCCTAATCTATGAAATGAGAGAGGTTGGTCCCTCTCAGCTCTAACATTCCGTGGCTACAGATAAATATAGAAACAAGATAAATACAATAATCTAGAAATAAGAAATATTTCCCAAAGTAAGCTTTGGAGTCAGTAGAAAAAAGTAGCAATGAAATATAATAAAAAGAATAAAATTTTAACTAGTAGCCAGAGTAAATATATCTCATTTAAAAATTAATGAAAAAGTTTGTAATTTACAATTGATCAAGGAGACTTCAGAACATACATATTGATATTTCTTCACCATCACGCACACGGAGGAAAGAATGAGTTTGAGGTGACTTGTACAATGAGCACAATGCTGCGCCTGCCTGCATAACATTTTATAAAACTGGACATTAAAAAAAGCTCAAGACCACATAAGGAATAAATTTCTATAAAGTTTGGCATTACAAAGAGGCTGAGGGGGGTTGTTAACTGGTTGTTCTGGTTCAGATTGTTTTAGGGTTTGTTGCTGTCAAACTCCACTATTTATGCAAAATCTTAAAATCAAATATGCTTCTGCCAGAGCCCTCCTAGAGAACAGCCACCATGATGAAGACAGGTATTTAAGTGTTGACAATACCAAACAAACCTAACTTCTTTCCCTTTTTGTATTTGTGAGTTAAAATAATTTTTTTAACCAAAAACAGGTCAGACGTGTTTGTTAAGTCAACTCAAAGGTTTTGCAGGTTGAGAAACTAGTTGATTCAATCTGATAATTTCTTTTTTTTTTTTCTTATTTATTTATTTATTTATTTATTTATTTATTTATTTATTTATTTATTTATTTATTTATTTATTTATTTATTTATTTATTTATTTATTTATTTATTTATTTATTTATTTATTTATTTATTTATTTATTTATTTATTTATTTATTTATTTATTTATTTATTTATTTATTTATTTATTTATTTATTTATTTATTTATTTATTTATTTATTTATTTATTTATTTATTTATTTATTTATTTATTTATTTATTTATTTATTTATTTATTTATTTATTTATTTATTTATTTATTTATTTATTTATTTATTTATTTATTTATTTATTTATTTATTTATTTATTTATTTATTTATTTATTTATTTTTAAAGATGACCGGTAAGGGGATCTTAACCCTTGACTTGGTGTTGTCAGCACCACGGTCAGCCAGTGAGCGAACCGGCCATCCCTATATGGGATCCGAACCCGGGGCCTTGGTGTTATCAGCACCGGCCATCCCTATATAGGGATCTGAACCCGTGGCCTTGGTGTTATCAGCACCACACTCCTCCCGAGTGAGCCACGGGCCGGCCCCAATCTAATAATTTCTTAACACCAAACAAATGTTTGCCTGACTAAGATGACCATATATGTCTCTTGGCTAGAGACTGACCACTGTAATGACAACTGAAACAACAGAAAAGGTTGGGATCAGTTGGAGAGTCATGGCTATAGTGATTCAGGGGCTTGAAGGAGTAACATCACTGGAGTACTCTCTCTCTCTCTCTCTCTCTCTCTCTCTCTGTCTCTCTCTCTCCAGGGATGCTGCTGTTGCTGGTCCTGGGACCACACTTTGAGAACCACTGGCCTAGATTTTGGGCTTTACTGAACAAAAGTATATACCTATTTCACATCACCCATTACTCATGCAAATTTCTTTTTGCTAAACTTATTAAAATCGTCCCAAATGTGTGTCTATAACTATTTACTACTGTATTCCTTTATAAATCTGTATTTTAAAACTTTGCTTATTTTATATAACTGTTTTAATCATTATACTTCTTGCTGCCCTTTGACAAAGGCACTTCATTGTACCTCTTTCCCTCTCTTGTCCTTTTAAATCCCTCTTTGTCACTCATAGCTGAAATACATCCAGAGGCTTTGAAGGGACTGGGTGCTCTGGTACAGATACGGTCTCATTCTCACACAAAGCTGAAGTGAAAGCACATCACACAGATGAAGTGGGGGACGCAGAGGCTTGTGGTTAGTAAAGTTGTGCCTCCAATGAGTTTAATAGTCACCACCAATACCAGACGACTGACGTTGACTGAACAGTTTCACCTTTCACAAGCAGGACACATTTTCACAAACTCTTTAAGTCCTTGTGTTCTTTTACTCAAATGGTAAGTAGTATTAATTCCATTTATGTAAAAGTGTTAATGTACAATATGAGTGATCTAGGCCTTCTCAGTGGCTTTTAGTAGCCATTTCTGAGAGTCCCTTGGTAGTAACCATATTGAATAGCACTGGATAACTTGACTGTCAGGTATTAACTAAAATGATTCCAGGAGACATTCTGGAGTTAGCCATCAGGGAATTTGGCCTTTCCATGGTGAAAAATACACTTCTACAACTAGTTGATGCCTAACATTCTGCAAGTAGAACTCCATTCCTTTGGCTTAAGGCTTTTCTCCTGTTAAAATGCAAGTGACCCTCAAAGGAGGTAGCATTAAGCCTTAGAATCTGAAAGTAAATGCATTTATCCCTTTCCTGAGAGCATGCTTTTCTTAGAGAGGAGAACAAAGTAGGAGGCACTGAGGAGAGTTGGTGCTGGGAAGCAAGGTGTGGGGACAATGGAGCAGAGAGAGAAACGGGAGGACCGCAGTGACAGACCTCTAACCATCTTGCTCAAGGGCTGTCCCTGGGGGACATCCCTATAAAATGGATGCTACCTTGCCACTTGGAGCAGGTTACTTAGAAATTAAATATGTTTTCTGATAATATTGAAGATTCTTTAATGTGTAGGCATACAAGGGATTATAGCAATGGAAAAATAGATAGCAATAAAATATTTGGTGCAACAACAGATAGGAAGTTAACCCCCCCCCCAAGTTAGAACGACCATACTTGTTCATAGGAAGAAGATGAGCTGATACTACTTTACAGAGTGCAAACCACAGGGCCAGGTCAAGGGAAGGCACTCGCCTGGCCCTGACAGTGGGCGCCTTGTTCACCTCACCCCAGTCCTGGTCCTGGCAAATCATATTAAAGTGAAATCTCACATTGTGTCACACACTTGGCGATAATGGGAGGCTGAACCAGTGATGAACAGAGCACTGCACATGAACTCGTCTTTTGCTGACTAGTTCGTTTATGAGGAAGAGGGCAGGTGCACGGGCAGATCCACTCACGTTCATAAGGTACAGAGAGACCGTGATGTATCTATGTTATCAAGAGTTCAAATGGATGTCAAGTGCAATGCTTGGTAGAAGAGCCTGGCAGAATCTCCTGTCTTTGCACGTTCGAGGGAATTTCTCCAGTTCAACTGGTCAATTTGTAGCCATTCAGCTAACGTAAAACATTTGAGGGCGAGCTGTTGGCTAGGGCTGCAGTTCATGGGAGTTAGGGCTAGGGGACCAGTTGGGGCCGGGTGGGAGGCTGAGGCAGACCAAGTGGTGCAGACAAAGGAGAAGAGACACCAGCAAGAATAACTTTGCTGTTGTGCCAAGAATAACTTGCTGTCTACCCTCCACATTTGAAGTACAGACATGTAATGAATATCCACCCAGTGCAAAGCACTCAGTCACCAGCTAACTCCTCTCCTGGGGACGGCTCCCTCTACTCCCGACTAGATTGACATCAGTTTAGCAGAGCCACCTGCTGCTACTAGTTGGAATTAGAGGGACAAAAGGGGAGAGAAACGATTTGAAGTGGAAGCTGACCTTCTGGGGCCAAATTCATTTCACTCAAACCTCTTCTATATCCACCTTTAAAAATTATTATCATTATTATTTGTACTAGTAATAGTAGTAGTAGGTTTTCTGAAAGCCTTCCTGAGAGGGGCTTTCAGCCTCTCTTCTCCAGTCTCGGCAGAGCAGGTGCAGAAGGCAGCAAATGTTGTGGTAAGTGCCTGGGTGGGAGAGAGTGTTGGTGTTATGATAATCAAGGGTAGGAGAGAGGTTAAGTGTTAGGAGTATGAAAGATGCTTAGGGTTATGTTAATCAATGATTTGTAGAAGTTTTACAGTTTGGTTGGTTCTTTGGGACTAAGTCCACCTGTTGCATTAAATATTAAATGAATATTTCCAGTCCCAAATGTTAACTCTGACCATACAATGTCTACCCCAAATCCTCTTGTGCTAATGGGAACACCACTGGGCATTTGAGGGTCACAGTGGTGATGTAGATGTTCTAAATATTCCAGGCATACAAAGTATTGTAGAAGAAAGCAAGAATCAAGGTAATTGAAAAACATAGAGGTATCTGGGCATTCAGCTTTAGAATCTTTTGGGTAAACCTCCAGAGGTAGCAAGGTGAGGGGAGAGGCAAAACCCACTAGAAGTAGCAAACAAGAAGCTCCCAGAAAAATCAGCAGAAGTAACAAGTCCTTATACTATGGGAGTACTCAGCTTTCAAGTTCAGCTGGTCATAATGGTCCCCAAGGAGCAGGCCCTGGCAGCCTTTCACTTCTGTTCAGCAAAAACACAAACACTCCATTTCCCTATGGAGGCAAATGCTCCTGCCATTTGGAATTCTGAGTCTGGGGCAGAAAGTGTGGCATTCATATATAAACTAAGGCCAGGAATGAATCTATTTTATTTCAGGCAAAACCCCTGAATTTTGGTTAAGACCTTCAAGCCAAATAGTTTGAATCAACTTTCAAAAGCAACAGGGCTTTCACTGGCTGTTTATTATTTTAAGTGGCTTCTTTCTAAATCAGAGGGAAGTGCTGACGGCAAGGGAGTTGGTGGACCCGGCCTGTTCCCAGAAGCCTTGAATTCAGAACTGTACCAACCAAAGGCCTAGGCTTAGGGCTTCTATATGAGAGGCCCAAGTCTTCTCAGTACTCAGTGTGGTTTCCAGTAGCTCTGTCTGGCTGGAGTACGGACGGTTGAGCTAAGAGCTTGCTTCTCACTGGGGAGCAACACAACCTGTCAAAATTGAGGTCTGCTTGTCCCTGTAACTCTTACTGCATCCTCCAGGAGGTTGGCCAATAAGTCTCCTTAGGTAGGGGGTAGAGGAGGAAGGGGTAGGGGCACCCTCTTTGTGAAGCAGGCTGCAATTTCATTTTCCTTTTCTTTTTGCCTCTTGGGAATGATAGACAATTAATTTTCCATCATTGGTCAGCAGACTTTCTTTGTTCAATGCTTTGTCTGTCTTCCCCCCAACCTCTCAGAAATCAGGCATATGAAAATCAAACGAATCATTGCTCTTGCTGTGCTTAGAAAACTGAGTTGGTAAGAATGGTTAGTGCCTATAAGCTTTGGAGCGGAGGGGTCGTACTGATTGTTCTGGAGCTCTTTCAGCATCCTATTTACCCAAGTTCTTACACTCTCCCCCAGCATGATTCATTGAAAGTTGGTCAAACAGTAGAACCTAAATGGCAAAAAGGAGCTCTTTTATGTGTTATGGGCCATAACAACTCACAAGGCTGCCTTTTAGATTTTGGAAAGATCCTTTTAGTCTATCTGTTCTTGGTTTTTGGAATAGAGTCAGACTTCCTTTAAATAAAGCCAAACCAACCATAAACCATGATTTGAATTGAATGGTGGGGGGCAAGATGCACTTACTTTCTATCCTCCTTGAGCCTTTGATGATACTGTCCCTTCAGCTAATTACTTCCTATAATGAGTGTTATACACAAATGAAACAAGAGTTGTTAAGATGCAGCATGAGCTGGGCACAGACCCCACTATCACTGTTGACAGATACTTGAAGGAACTCAAGGCGCATGTGCCAGTTACCTTGGCTAGATCCGAGCGAACACATGGCTGTCTTGTTTGTTGGCTGAGCTTGGTACAACCAAAGCAACCCAGTCCTGATCTTCTCTAGGTAAGGGGGGTCCTACATATTTATTGACACTCATCACCCTGATCTCCGTGTAGATAATCAAACTGACAAAGGCGTGAAGTTTCAGGACAGAGTCACATTCATATTTTGCACTACAAAAGCCATCCAACCAACCCTACGCCGAAATAAGTGTACATCTGCAAATCTCTCGTGGGGGAAAGTTAAACTGTGGTTGAGGAGGCATCAGAGTCTTTCTGTATCTCCACACAAGGTCGTCAAGACCTCCCCAGGACGGTGAGTAATCAGCAATGGCACCCTATGCCCCCCAGGTTTGGCAGTCCCCAATCTGCTCTCACGCTGGGAGCAGCCATGTCATTGAGTGAAAAGGTGGCACATGTGCCCTCGCATCTGAGAATTTTTTCTTAGTGTACACCACTGGGGGAAAATAAGAAGACACTCAGAAGTCTGTCATGGCAAGACTGTAAGTATGCAAACGCAAAATGTCTGAAGATGGTTCAGGCGCCTGATGATTTTAGCCCTAGATGAAGTGGCCTCTCTTCTGCTGTCCAAAGTGTGAGCTAATGTAAAAGAAAAGTAGGCTTTTTTGTTATTTCCATGGTTCCTTTTTAAAACCCTTTCTCTTCCCTCTTCTCTTCTCAAGTTTAGTAAGTAAACTCCGCTTGTTGAACCCAGGGCTTAGGTACTGGGGTTATCGGTGGTTTCATAGTCTTTTGAAAATTGTGCAATAATTCTCCTAGCCAGTGGGTTAGTGGTCTTCAGCAATTCGGCTGCTGAGGGCCGGGACCTGGGAGTTGCCTTACTTCCCTTCTTCTGTAGCAAGGCCTTGAAATCATCGTTTCTGCCAGCATCTAGGTTGGCACTGCTGCCTGACCCTGTGGCAGCAGCAGACTCACTGATTGGAGAATCGGCTGTATTCTTTATTGGTGAATGGGAGCTCAGTCTGCCACTGGCAAAGGCCTCACCAGGCTCCTTCCAGCCAAGCAGCTTTCTTTTGGACCTAAATAAGAGAAGGATTGGTTTGGGTGAATTCATGCAGCAGACATTTACCAGTGCTCCACAGAACTCCATGGTAGTCACATAACCTGAGAACATCTATGCAGCAGCCCTGCAAGCAGTCCCACTGCCTAGCTTTCTCTCTCACCTCTACATCCTCAGAGTCCCTTATTGGGCCTCCTGTCCCCACACTCCTTTCAATGTCCACAGCTGGGGTCAATTGGCCTGTGCCTGCAGGCTCAGTCCTGCCCAGGTTCTAGGACCAAGGACAAATTTAAGGAGTCAAGGCTCAGTGACTCTGAATCAGGACAGCCTGGGGACTGATCCTGTTCTGAATTGGTGCTCCAGCTCCAATAACTGGGTCCTTTCCAGTTTCCTTGTCACCCAGCCCCTGCCTCGTGCCCCTATCTAATAACTGGGTCCCTATCTGGTCCCCCTTTGCCTAAATTCCGGCTTTGAGACTCCGCCTGGTGCCTCGCTTCACCTCTTGATGAGATTTTTTGGTACAAGGAATTCTATTGAAGGGTTAAATGTCTCTGACTGTAGACAGAGCTGTGAGAGAGCAGATGGAGCCACAATAGGCCAAGTGGTTGCTAGGAGACGAGGGGCCTCTCACTGCACCTGGCCCCCCTCCCCTCCTCCACTCTACCCGAAGATGTCAGTGAATTTGAGATGTGAGGCCCTGGACTATGCTCACATATCTGAACTTAGTCTCCAGTTGCAATTCTTTTATTTATTTATTTTATTTTTCTATTTCCCAGTTGCATTCTAATGGCTGCTTAGAGGTAGCAGTTTTTCTTAAAGCAGAAAAAGAGAAGGCAATTGCAATTGGAATTAAGGAAGTTGGTCCAGACCTGTGTATCACAGTAAATAAATCTTCAGTTGTGCGTGAAGCCACAAACACGTCATCATCATCCTCTGCAATCCATTCAGCTGTTTTATCACTGATTAAACTTTTTTCTTCTGCGCTTTGTTCCACAGAACTCCCTAGGCATAAGAACCAGAAGAAACAACTTTGACCACAATAGATAAGACAAAGCACATTCGCATATTTTATTTCATTTGATGTTCAAAGCAACTCTGGAAGGGCAGCAGGGCCGAGATTTTTAATGTCTCCACTTTGCAGAGGAGGACCATGAAGTTCAGAAGTGTAATGATTTGCCCAAGGTAGCATAAGCAGTGAAGATTGCCTGAGTCCCTCCTTTCTTGTGCCTTTTTCATTAAAACAGGTTGCCCAAGCACTCTCTCTTGTTTTAAATACATCATTTTTAAAAATCAAGGAGCTGAGAGCAATCTAAAGTAATGACTCTCACCCAGTAGGTGAGAGTGGGATCTATCTGAATCTCAGAGGGAGGTTGTGGAATTTGAGGAAGCATATTCTAAAATTACCTGTGGCTTTGATTTGCTTGCCTGTTTTAGTCATAATTAACTTATATTGAAAGTCCAAATCAACTTAAAGAAGGCCACGAGATTTTGATGCTCGGTGTTAAGGGTTCAAAAAAAGGATGAGAAACATGGATGAATCTTGAGGACATTAAGTTATGTGAAATAAGCCAGTCACAAAAAGACAAATACTGTACGATTCCACTTATATGAGGTACCTAGAGCAGTCAAATCCGTAGAGACAGAAAGTGGAATGGTGGTTGCCAGGGGCTGGGGGAGGGGAATGCGGAGCTGTTTAATGGGTAGAGTTTCACTTTTGCAAGATGAAAGGAGTTCTGGAGACTGGTTGTACAACAATGTGAATGTACTTAACGTTAATGAACTGCACACTTAAAAATGGTGAAGATGGCAAATGTTATGTTATGTGTTGTGAATTGTGTATTTTATCACAATTTAAACAAAGAGACAGAACGAAAAGGATGAGAAACATTAACTAGCCCAGTCTTATGGTTCAAGGAAGAGCTAGCCTCAAACCATGCAAAAAAGTGAGCTCCCTTTCCTCTGGAAGGCTCGAAGAAAGGTTGCTGGTGGTAACATATTCCATCGTTTCAGAAGCCTCCAAGCCTGCCATGGCACTTGAACTCAGTCTGGGAGGGTACTGAGTCCCACGCATGAAACTAAATTCAGTGCAGCTAATAAAAGGTGCTGCAGAGCAAGGTGGGGAAGTAGTTCCTAGGGCAGGGGTTGTAAGCCTGGCTAGGTGGATGAGATCATGAAGTCCTAGGGTGCTAGGACTTAGTTTGATTTCATTATCTTAGCACTAGGGGTTCGAGGGTAGACTGGCCCAAACTGGGCCTTGGAGATCTGCCCACATCAGTTCTGATCTCAAAGGCAGTGAGGCTAGCCCGTGGTTCCTATTTAGAGTAACCCAAACCCTCAAGAGGTGCCCCCTACTGATTTGATCATCCTGGGATCAGGACAGTTATTCTGGGGCATCTACTTCTGTCTCGGGCACTTCATTCTCATCCCTGTTTCTCCCGTGATTGAAAGAAAAAGGCAGAGGACAGTTTACTCACCCGGAGGGCTTGTCTCCCTTTCACTGGCAGCCTGCGGAGCTGAGGTTGTCCTTTTGCCAGGTGATTGCAGGTCATCGCCAGTGGGGGTACACTTGGCATCTTCCTCCAGGGTGATGATGGGGCTGAGAGGCAGCCTTGATTCTGCCATGTAGGCCTCCATGTGAGCTGTGGGTGAGGTGACAGGCAGGTACAGCACGCTGGGCTTTTTTGGTACAGGAGGTGGAATCTTGCCTTTCTTTTTCTCAGCTTCTTCCTGGCTCTGGAGGCTAATTCTTTCAGGCAGGGCTCTCGTCTTGGGGCCCTCATCCTCCATACTTCCTTGGAGAGGTTGCTGTGTTCCTGAGAAGAAAGCACCAGAGGAACTGCCAAAAGGTGTGAAAACAACAGATGAGGGTGTGGTTGACCCCCCTGGGCTCCTGCCATCTGGGAGGCTGAAGGACTTTGGTTTCCACACCACCGTGTAGCTGTCTTGAGGGAGTGGCCTCACGTGTTGAATTGAGCTCTTGGGGGTCATAACCAAGGTAGGCGAAGTTAGTGGGTACTCCTCAGGGACAGATGGTGGCTTGTGGACCAAGCTTGGAGGCCTTCTGGCAAACGGAGGCTTCTCAGCTACGGGAGGTTTCACCTTTCTCTCTGGCAAGGTGAAGACTTCTTCTGCTCTGGGTTCCTCAGCACACTCAGGACTCTCAATGTCATCTTCTGGCTCAGACTTGCTGACTGACCTCAGGCGAACAGAACGTAGGTCAGACTGAGTAACCATGGGCATGATTGGCTGGTTGGGACTAGTTTTCTGGGCCAACTTGGCCCCAAAATTTGTATCTGAGTGATGCCGGCTCACCTTGGTTTTGCTTCGGATGGAAATACTCATCCCAGACAGGTCCAGGTTGGTCGAAGGGGTCAATGGTAAGTCAAACGGTAGCCGTGACTTGGGAATTTTCTCCATTGGTGATGTCGGGGGTAGTGATGACTTTCTCTCAGGTACCACTGGCCGTACCCGGACACTGCTGCTTGGCGGGGGTAAGTGGCCCAGGGTCGAGGACATGGAGACAGTGGGTGTTGGTGTCTCTGACTGGCTGGAATATCCACTGGAGGGTGACATCAGTCCAGTGGGCCTTCCTGGGGAAGATACCTCCCTGGGCTCCACCTCGATGGAGAGCTGGGAAGGTGTAGTGGCTCTGGAGGTGGAAGGGGAGGCAAGAGACTCTGAACTGCCCTGAACTTGGGTGCACTCAATGACTGTGGTGCCGGTGGCAGTGCTGGAGCTGGACAAGGATTGGTAGGTGTCACCAGATTTCCAGTCAGTAAGATACCAGTGGTGGGAGAATTGTGTACCTTCTGGATCTTTGAGGGCTGGCACAGCTGGGTGACCCTGAGCATCTGGATGGGACAAATGATGTCCTTGGTGTTCCAAGGAGAGGCAAAGGCTCCTGGGCCTCTGGTCCTTGGGTAGTGCTGACCCACCTTCTGGCAAGAGGACCGGCTCATCTTTGACCAGTGAGACGCTGCGGGTTGGTGGGGAGGGTTTCTTTTTGGCTTTCTTGAGTGAGATACTCTTGGACCTCTGTCTTCTGTGCTGGGCCTCCTGTTCGGCACTAAGGGAGGCAATGTTGTCAGCACTGTTACTCCCCTCAGAACTTGTACTGGCATAAGGCAGGGCACAGGCTTCACTGGCCTTCTGCTCCTCATCATAATTCACATCTGTGGTGCCTGAATCTGTGGGCACGGACAGTGACCGCTCCCGGAACCTGCTGGCCCCACCTGGGCCTGTCTCCAGCCGTGAAGTACCACCAGTTAGCAGGCCAGTCTTGGCGGGTCTTTCCAGTACTTGCCTTCGTTGGGTAGAGTGCTCAGAGTAGCCAGCCAGCCCACTGCATCCTGCTGGGCTATCACGAGTGACAAAGAGGGGAGCAGCCTCCTTAGGAACCACAGCGGGGAGTGTGTTCAGAGAGACCCAAGAATTCCCAGAGGAAGGATATTTTCTATTTTCACTGACTTGATTGCTCTGGCTGTTGGCACTTGGAGTCATGTAAGTAAAAGAATCTCCCTTCCAGGAAGTGGAGAATGTTGATTCTGTTGGTCCATTGCAAGAACTGGGGATGCTGTACACCATTCCCATGCTCTCCATGCCAGGAGGGTTGGGGCCACCGCGTGCCTGCTGAGGCTCTTCCAGATCACTAGAAGGATCTCTCAGTACTGGTGAGGTGAGATTTGGGAACTGAGCTTCCTGACCCACTGCAACTCTTCCATGAACACCTTCTGGCACTGAGTGACTGGGTCTGATGTCTGACGTGGTAGAACGGGCCACACTGCCTGCCGGGCTGCTGCTGTGACCTGGAGGAAGTAAACACAGAATGTTAGGGGTGCAATAAGGGACCCCCCATCAGCTGTTTCGAGACAGGAGCACCAAATTTCTGCCAAGAAGCATCTGCCAACAGCTTGGTCAGAATTCCTTGGTTTTTCCTTTCCGCAGATGAGGATGCTGGGGAAGTTGGGCCCTTGCCCATCACCACACAGTGAGTCACAGGGCACCCTTGAATTGTCCAGATGGCTGCCAAAGACTTTCCAGCTTTGATTATTCCTTTTAGAGCTGAAGGGTCACATGGGACTCCCTTGGGTTTTTCCCATATTTTCACCCCAGGCTCATAAAACCATCACAGACCTCAGTGTCCATCAATCCTGAGAAGAGAGCAGAGGCTTCCGAACTAAGGACAGCTTTGTGCGACTTTCAGTTCCAGCAGTGAATCTGGAGTATGCCAGAGCTGGAAAGTTAAGAGTCTGGTTGCATTTTTAGCACCTGTCACTTTTTAGCTTTGTCACATAAGAGACTTATAGATGTGAAGGAATCCCCAAAGATTTTCTCGTATACACAAATCATTATGATTGTTATATCATTATTATTATAATTATTATCGCTACTACCGCTGTGATGATTTACAATAACAGCCACCATTTGTTGAACACTGACTATGTACCAGGCACATGATAGGCAAATTACAGACAGTATAACTCTACTCCTTACAATGACTCTCCCGGGTTGGTATCACTACCCCCAATTTACGGCTGAAGAAGCTGAGGCTCAGACAGATTATGTGACTTGTCCAAGGCCTCATGGTTAGCAAGCAGAGAGGCCAGAACTCACATCCCCTCCTCTCTGGTCTGTGCTCTTTGGGTTTGGATGGCATTCATCTAATGGTAGTAATGGTTCTGTTCAGATTGTGGTTTTTAAAGATGACTCCCCTTCCCCCTCACCCACCCTTTATCTATTTGCTTAAATTAGGCATTAGGCACATATGATTATATTACATTTTTTTGAAAATTTTTTTTTATCAAAATGTATTCATTATACATATTTATGGGGTACAGAGTGACATTTCAATACATGTATACCATGTTTGATGATCAAATCAGGGTAATTAGCATATTCATCATTGTAAATACATATATTACATTTATAATGGGAACCAATACTGTAATGAATTTATTAGCTCGGGAGACCTGCTCTCCGTATTCAGTTGCCACCTTTGATAATCCTTAATTACCACACTGGCTTTTTCAGGACATCTGAAGTCCCCCCTTCCCGAATTATTCCTGTTCTCCATCACCACAATAGCACCTGGGCAGCAGGATTGGGGGGAGTGGGCAAGGGGAAGGGTCAGCTACAGTGGGGTCACCTTGGTCTCGCTTGGAAAAGTTAGAGAATCCAATAATGGTCCGCCTCCGCCTCAGGGTGGACTTGGGGTTCACGGCTGTCTCTGTGTTAAACAACGAGTGTCGCAAACTTGCGTGCTTATCAAACTGCTGCCCTGTAGCCAAAATAAAGACACTTGGGTGCATCCTGGTTTCTGTTTAAAGTACAGTGGAAATTGGCCTGAGGTAGAGAGAAGGGAGGATGGCAGGAGCAATGAGCATGAATAGCGTCCAGGCAGGGAGCACGTCTTTCCCATCCCTCCCAATTTGGCCCTGGGCATACATGCTGGGTTTCTCAGGCTGCACCCAGGTCACCTGGAAGTCTTAGGTGGACTGGGACAGTGGTTTTCAACCCTGGCTACATACTGAAATAAACTGGGCAGCTTTTGAAACTTCAATACCTGGACCCTACCCCTGAACATTAAATCTCTGGGAGTAGGGCCCAGGCAGAAGCATTTTCTAGAAGTCCTCAGGTTTATTCAGATGTACAGCCAGGGGCGAAAGCAGTCAGTGCAGAATGATAGGCTGAGACTAGATGTTGCTTGACTGTGATCCTCTGTCAGAGAAAGCCTTTACACAGGCCAGGTGAGCCGGTACCTCCAAAAAGCTGCCTTGTCACCCTCACCATCCAGGAAGCAGCCTGGTAGTCTGTCCTCCAGCCACCTGGTCACATTTGACCAAAGTTGCCCACTGCCTGGTGACTAAGTTCTGGTTCTCTTATAGCACTGGAACAGTCTTTGGCTCCTGGGAAATTGCTGGGGCAGAGTAGGGTGAGGCAGTGCTGTGGGCGAGGCATGTGGCTCCCCTCCCTGTCTCTCATTCAGCAGCTGGCTCAGCAGCCTCTCCGCTCCCAGCCGCACGCCTACACACACCCCAGCAAGTGGCTCCGTGGGCAGAACTCAGGGACAGCCTTGCTGAGAGTCAGACAGACATTTAGAAACAGAGTGCCCAGCATCACTTTATGAGTCTCTCCTCATCATCTTATTCTTCTTGGTACATTTCCCTAGGCTGGGCTCGATTTCCTGCCTCTCATTTCCCGAGATGATGCCAGCGGCAGTGGATGACCCCATATCCAGGGAGCATCACCACACGTGGCCAGAGCTGTTCTCATTGTCTTCATCACCTTTTTCCAGCATAGAAGGGGCTGGTGCTGGCTTGTGGGATCCCTCTCGTTGAGCTCATCCAGTCATCGGCCCTACCTCCTTCTGAAATGACCGGCCCTCCTCTTCTTCCCCTCGCAGCCGATGGGGTGAAGCATGAATTAATAACGGGCATGGGATAGTGCGCCACATGCCCCCAGAGCCACAGCCACCTGGGCTACACACATCACTTTCTTACTCCCAAGGTCGTACTGGGTCTCCTTTAGGTCTATTTTGCCTTAGTACCTTTCTACTTCTTCCCTTCTTGAAAAGCTTACCAAAAAAGTTGAGGAGGCCCACCTCACTGGAGGACCTAGTGTCTAGTAAAAGTGCCACAAGGCCCTTGGTCTGTGCCCAGGTGTGACTCTTCCCCTTTTACCACTAGCTCTCTGAGTTCCACTGTCCCCCTCCAACTCCTGTCTATGTACTCCAAACCCAGCTCTGGGCACAAGAAGTTCTTTCCCCAAACCAAACGGAATTCACAAACTTTAAGTTTCCACACATACTCCAAAGAGCACACAAGTCCATAAAGTTTTGAGGCTTTCTGTCAAGAAAATTTTGTTTGTTATCAAATGGTCTGTTAGGGTGGCGGTGCAAGTAGGGAGTGAAGAAAGAGCAGCCAGAGCCCCCTCTTCTGCATGCCTCATTCCCTGGCGAGAGCCATGACTGTGACAGTGCAGGGTGAGCCAGTAGCAAAGAAAGTCTCACCCCCACCCCCAGCACCCAGTGCATTCGGAGAGGATGGTCTGTAGTGGCATGGAGGCAAGCAAACAGAGGTGGCGCTAAGCGACTCTACCAGAGATGTTGATGGGCACAATGTCAGATTGTGTGGAGCAAGGCTGAGGCCACCGCTTCTCCTCTAGGATGGGCAGAGGGAAGGGGCTATTCCAGGCAGTTTGCTTGTCGGCTGTGGTAGACAGGCTCAGGGAGGCCTCAGGGGCCCTCACACCCTGGGTGGTGGTCTCATCCTCACTCAGCTGTCGTTTTGTAGGCTGTTGGGAAAGAAGGTGATGGAAAGGGTGTGCTCCCGACTGGCGATGAGCCAGTGCCCACAGGATGGCTGTTTAGGCAGGGCAGTTGGAGGCTTCATCTGGGAGGAAGGACAACGTGGACAGGCTGCCAGGCCAGGCACCTGCTGTGCAGGGCCCATCCCAGTGGGGCCTCAGGGTAGCTCTGCTGGGGAACAGAGGCGAGCGGCAGCTTCCAGTGGGCAATGTAAGCAGCTTGAGGTCTCCTGTAAGTGGGTGCACACCTGCTCTCCCATATGGCGGAAGAGGCAACTCACCATCAGTACAAACTCCAGACGCTTGGCAGACTGGGGCCTTGGGCTGGGGCTGGGCTGAGGGGCCTCCTCAGAAGAGCGGAAGGTCTGCCCCAGAAGTCTGGCTTCCGAGTACTGTTCCTCATATTCTTCTGAAAAACAGCACAGTGGAGACACACTCTAGGGGCCACAGCCAAGCACTGGGCTGGGGAAGGACCATGAGCCAGGGCCCCTGTTCTAGCTGCCAGGCCTGACTTGCAGTTTCTTTAGGCCATTTCCCGGTGTCTGAGCCACTGAATTCAGAAATGGAAGTGTCTGCTTCCTAGGACCATGTGGGCCAAGGAGAAAAGAAAGCCCATCAATTCAAGCTGTGCTGGTTTGGGGACCAAGCCCTTATCCAATGGCCCCCACCTTAAGTGCTCAACTTGGAGAAGAGGCTCAGGATGCAGCTGACGTTTGCTACTTAATACTGCAAGATCCTCTCTTTTTTTTATTTATTTATTTTTATTTTTATTTTTTCCTTTTTGTCTTTTTTACTGACCGGTAACGGGATCGCAACCCTCGGTGTCGCGCCCGTACCGGGGACCAGCAACGGGATCACAACCCTCGGTGTTGCGCCCGCACCGCGCTCAGCCAGTGAGCAGGAACCGGTCTCCACGTGGGATCCGAACCTTCAGCAGGAGCGCCGCTGCGCTCCCAAGCGGCGCACTCTCCAGTGCACCACCGGGCCGGCCCAAGATCCTCTCTTTGAAGCCCTGTAGCTCTTCAGGTTTTCTGCAACCCTATCAAGGAAATGACCTGTGTGAAGCAAGAAGAGATTCGCACTGGGAAGTCCAGTCTGGAGTTCTCTCTTGGATATCCAGAACTCTTGAACCTTTGTGGACCTGGTTCCCTGCACCTTAGTCCCACTGTGGGTGAGGTCAGGTCTAGGTGGGCTAAGGTGAAGGCAAGGGAAAGAGCAGGTAGCAGCATAGAAGAGGGAGACGGTTCAGGGGCATCATCAGGGAATAAGGAGGATGCATAAGATTTGAATAGGTTTGTGGAAGTGATGAATTCGATGAATAAATGAAGAAAGTGAGAGTAATGAACACATTCATGGCTCTATGTACATTTGAACAAAGACTCTTAGAATCATAGAAACTGGGGGTTGTTCTTGGGGTTCTCTGGCCCAACACCCCCTTCTGTGCTCAGACTCCTCCCTCAGCAGCCCTTCCAGATGCTTCTTCAGCCTCAGTGCACACACTTGCACAGAAGGACAGCTCCCTCCCTCCCAAGGCAGTTCATTCCTTCCACGGTCAGTTGGGGTATCAGGTGCATCAGAAAAGTTCTTCCTTATTTGAGGGTGAAATCTGCTCCCCTCCGGGTTTCCACCCACTCCTCCTAATTCTGCCTGTCGTAGCAACACAGAACACACCGACTCTTTTCATTCCCTGCATGGCAGCTCCTCTGCTATGAACACAAGGCTCATGGTGTTCCTTGGCATCTTGCTTCTCTAAGGTCACCACTGCCCTGGCAGGGAGTTGGGGGGTATGGCTGTAGTACAGTTGGTGGCTCATCTGCAGTTTTCTATTCTCCATCGAAGTTAACCTTCTTTGGTATAGATAAACGAGAGCTGACGGACCTCTTTTCACATTTAACATCCACTGAGCACCTCTTGGGGGACCCAGCCCTGTGCCAGGTACTTCTGGAAACCCAAGGGTAGTAAGAGATGTGAGTCTTCACATAGAGAAGGTCAGTCTGGTTAGGAGGACAAGATGGGTGAACTCTGGGTGCTGGATTACTTTGGTTGAGGAAGTAGCTACCCGGGAGGCATGTGGACACGGTTATTGCAAGCGCGGAGTGAGTGAAGCCCAGAGCGGGAGATCCCGCAGACACGCCTTTGTCTTCCGGTGCCAGGATTCCAAAGGCATGGACATGTGGCAAGAGAGGGGCTGGAGGCAATGAGGGCCTACATTGTGGGAGTCTCCCACCCAGCTCTTTGTGAATGGCTTGACCCGTTGCCCTGCCTCAGCCTCTGTCCTTTTTTCCCCCCCTGAACTACTGAATTAAAAAATGGGGTGTGTGTGGGGGGGAACATCCCTGGAAATAAAGTCTTTTAGAATCATTAGTCTGGAAGCTGAAAGATGGAAAATGTGTGCTTTGTTTTGCCACAGGTGTTAAGCTATTCTCTCTTTTCTCTTGCTGGCCGCTGTCCTCTCTTCTTGGCCTCCCTCCTGCTGCGGCGCATCTCGCTTCTGGCTCTGGCCGCAGCCCCCCTCCCTCTCAGTACCTTGCAACAGGCTCTGGAGATTGAGCTGCGCCTCGCGAAGCAGCTCCTCTACACTCGGGGGCCTGCCCAAGGAGAGGAACACGTTCACTGGCTGTCGCCATGACGACCTCGAGTGGGCGGTCGCTGTCGCATTTTCCCGACCCGAGTTAGCTGCAGCTAGGGAAGGAGAGAGTCAGTGAGCGGCGCAGCCGACGCGGGAGCGGGCCGCCGCGGCCAATGGGCGCCCGCGGTTCTGAAGACCCGCCCCTGCCAGGGGGGGGGGAGCGGGCTAGGCGGCGCTTAAAA